CTTTCGGTTAGCTTTCTCTATTTCCTTTACTGCATACCAAAATGCTAATCTAAATAAAGAAATAAAAACATACTACAATTCATTTCAAAGTTCAAACCAGAATTCGTATTGAAAAATTCATTCAGTATCTTTCATCTGAACCATTTCTATTCAATATGTTACAGCAAAAAAGAAAATTTGTATTAACAAGTGAAACTTATGACAAAAACCAAAGGCCAAGTAATATCATACTCACATGCTTAAATACCCAAACAGTAAATTCCATTCCCAATTGCTTCAACCTTGATGTGGTACCATTACCTATAAAATTCAAGAATATGTCATAGTTTAGATAAAACAAAAGAAAATACTAGAATGGACAAAACAATAAAGTTTGGACAGATGTCCCAATCTTTAAGCCATACATATTTGTCTCTTGAAGTTTGGATAATGAACTCTAGTCTATACACAATAGATGAAGGCGGTAATTTGTTCTAGGTGCACAAGTCGTTTTATTATATTGCACGTGTGATGAATGAATAGCAATTAACTTTGCAATTAAATAGTCCAGAAAATTTTAACAAAAGCAAAAATATTAGCACATTAAAGGTCATGATTAATAAATAAACATTTTCATACCATAAATGCAACCAAAAATGCACTGCAAGGTGGATGGGAAACTGTTTGCTGCTGCAATAGACCGGCAGAATATAGACATCAACTTTGCCTTTAGAGCATGACTCCCTGGACTCACTCTTGACTCTGAGTCAACACTTTCAGCTCCAACAGTACCTGTATTCACCTTCAAGGTTAATCACTAAAGAACATAAAACTGAAAACACTTCTGTTGAAGATTAGCACATATTAAATCATAATCATTTGATTCTGATTTGTCAAACTGTTACAAGACAGTGGTGTAAATAGATTTATTATCTATTATTGTTATTTTCTTATTTAAGTAGTTGTTATTTCCTTATTTAGGTGGCAGCAATTATAGGAAATTATTTCTCTGTTTATTAACAAATTAGTGTACAGCTTATGTATTCAATTTATACCTCACAATGTAAGAGTTCCAATCACAATGAAATATACAACATATTTCTTCTATATGCTATCAGAGCACAAGATCTGAACCATCCCTAAACCTTGAGCACCACCCATGGCAGATACTAAAGCAGAAAATTCAGCCAACAGTTTGGTAGAAGGACATGCTCTTCCTATCACTGGTCACAAATTAAATGGCCAGAATTACAATCAATGGGTGCGCTCGGTCAAAATCTACCTTCAAGGAAAAGGGAAGGAAGGTTATATCACAGGAGACTCCAAGTGTCCAAAAAAGGGGGATTCCAACATCGAAAAATGGCAATTAGAAAACAGTCTAGTAATGTCATGGCTACTAAACACCGACTGTGTGTTACATGTGCTCTACAGGCCGCACTCCATCTTTCTTCCCTTTTTTTTTGAAGACGGGCGTTGCGTTCGGTTCGAAAGGCATGGTTTTCAGTATGTCTCCGGATAGGGCCCCCACTAGTCCGGCTAGCAAGTGAGCGGTTCTTTCGGGCGAGAAGCGGGCCGGGCCCTACGGGCGGGCATCTCCCGCAACGCAAGTTGCATTGTTCGCCACCACCCGAGAAGCAAAAGATTCGAGAGTCCAGGCTTAATATACATGCATAGATAGTGGTCTAATGACAAGGGCCGACGACGGAAGCTCGGGACGGAGCCGTATGATGCGGAAGTCTCACGTACGGTTCCCTGAGAAGGGAGTGGCTACCTACTGGAGCTTCGACCAACCACCACCGGTCAATTCCGCTTTGGGGCCACCCCTAGGGGTATGGGGTTCGAGACAAAGAAAGATCAAGGCAGCATATCAGTTTTTCCTTTATACTTTACTTGGATCTATTTTTATGCTATTAGCTATTCTGTTGATTCTTTTCCAAACAGGGACCGCCGATTTACAAATATCATTAACCACAGAATTTAGTGAGCGGCGCCAAATCTTTCTATGGATTGCTTCTTTCGCCGCTTTCGCCGTCAAAGTGCCTATGGTACCAGTTCATATTTGGTTACCCGAAGCTCATGTAGAGGCACCTACGGCAGGATCCGTCATCTTGGCAGGAATTCCTTCAAAATTGGGAGCCCACGGGTTTTTAAGATTTTCAATACCCATGTTTCCCGAAGCAACACTTTGTTCCACTCCTTTCATTTATACTCCAAGCGCGATTGCTATAATATATACTTCCTTGACCACTTCAAGACAGATCGATCTTAAGAAGATCATTGCTTACTCCTCAGTAGCCCATATGAATCTGGTGACTATTGGTATGTTTAGTCGGGCGGCGGTCGTTAGGTCACCTATTTTTAGTTATGGACACAAAAGACAAGGCCAAAACATGTGTGCCGGGCGTGCGACCCATCAACCTACTAGCAATGGGGGAGAAAACATAGCATGTCGCAACAAAAGCTTGATTCAAGGCGTCAGCAAAACATTGCCGTCTGTTCCAAAAACTAAAGCCCCTTAGCGCCCCGGGACGGGAGTGGGGGACACCCTACGCGCAGGCAACAGCAGCACCGGCTCTACGAAGTCAGAATCTAATCTTTGTGTTGGCTTTCCCAATTCATTCGTGAATAAGAATTCAAGGGCTAGAAGCGAGCGCTTCTAGCTGCTTCGCCTGCTTCTTCTTATTGTGGCTATGTTGGCGTGGCGGAAATGAACGAAAAGCGAGATGAACGTGCTATTTAAAAATCGATTGATAGATAGCCTGATCCGTTCTGATAGATCGAAAGAGTAGGAATGAGATAGAGGGAATCCATCAATAATAAGGGGAAATCCACTATTTCTATCTATTGATAAGACAACTATTCTTGATCCATCAGAAATAAATCGATATGTATCTGATGGAGTCTACATCGTACGTAGAGCGCCCAAGCGCCAGCTCAGTTCTCTTATCCATTGGTCCAATGCACTGTCATGGATGGAGGGAAAAGCAAAAATCTAGTTGTTTGTGTTGTTCGCCGCCTCGACGCATTCCCTTCTCTCCCCGGCATCGTCCCACACAGAAAGAAAAAGCGCAGAGCCCCGGCCCGACCTGTAGTGTAGGTCCGCTAACGTAAAGCGAGGAGTTGAGCCTGAACTGGCGAACCGAAGTCACTTTCGGAACCATACTTCCTACAGCTAACACGTGTCCAGCGGGAACGCGCAGCGCAAAAAAACGTAAGTTGCTATACCGAATCCCCCGCAGGCCATCGGGGACCGAGTGGTAAGGCCATGATCCGCAGGGGAACAGATCACTCATTCTTCCATTGGGAACAGGTGCACGAACGACAACTCCAAACGTCACACATCCGTCGCCTACTTACCGTTTAGGTGGCACCAGCGAGATCCAGCTAAGGTAAGGAACTTCGTGTCGCGGCTGCTCCACTCCGCCGCGGTCTCATGAACTGAACTTCGTAGCCTTCCCGCGCGCGAAGCGAATGGGCGCTGTGCTGTGGGTCAGTTTCGGGGCGGGGGGCGAAGAGAGACCACAAGAATGATTCATTTGGATCGACGAGCTTTTTCAGCCCCAAAACTAAGAATCAATGGAATGTCTGTCTATCCATGAACATCTATTCTATCTGTATATCTAGGGGATCTCTCTATACATAAAAAAAGGTTTTTTGGCACGATATGATCGCCTAGCCGTAGCCGCATATTGAGCGCAGCGGATATGCGTGCGGGATTTCAGTTGGATCAGATCTTTAGCTTTGACGGAAGCTTTTGGACCTAGCGAAAAGGACTTAATAAGCCTTCGCGCAAGCAAAGTAGAAGCTTTGCCCGAAGCAAGACGAGGAAGCAAAGCTATCGTATAAGCGGTAGCTTCCCCCGACCTACTAAACAAAAATACAACAGTCGCGACCTACTTTGATTCAAAACAAAAGAAAGGCGAAGGGTTTGGCAACAAGCAAACGGCTTTCTATCATAGTTGCAAGGGTTCCCTACTTAAGTTAAGTACCAAAGGCTGCTTTCGGTTGGTAAAGAAGGGGACTGTTCACTACAAGCTATCAGCGTTGTCTTAGATTGAATGTCGACTTATCTTATTGTCGTTCAATCTCTATGGCGGGTTTACGCTGAGAACGGAATAGTGTTCGTGTCCAAAGGTGAACAACGCCCTAGCTTCTAGAGTTCGCTGCTTTTCCCAGGCCAGAGAAGGGCTTATACTGCTCGCCTTTGTTTGATATGTTCATTCAGTACCAATACAAACTAAAACTACACGTGGAAAGGCCCCTATAGAAGCTAGAAGTAACCTCTAGTAGTCTAGTAGTCGGCCTAACCAAAGCGTCACGACAACAGAAAATTACCCTTATGAATGGAATCTTAAGTAGGGGGCCCGCCCGCCTACCAATCAAAGAGGCTGAGAGTAAGCGTAAGCTCGAAGAGCTTCCCTTCATTCGCTTCGCGGGAGCCGCACAACACATAGCTGGAAGTCAGAGGGCCCATACTACCTGCCTAACCCCTCACTCCAAGGGACCGTAGATAGGAACAGACGTTATAAACCAAACCACCCCATTCATCTAAAAGAGAGGGGAAGGGGCCTATGTATTTGCATGACTCCTGCAGATTTTACCCTATCTACACCCGGAGCCAATCTCCTATCGGTCCTGCCACCACGCCGCAGAACGGGAGCTCGTGTGGAACCTTTTCTTTCTGGCGTAACAGCGGTGGAACATAAAAAAAGATTACGGTCGCGTAACATAAGGGCCAGAGGTACGGTAAACTCGGCCAAAATTGGACACCCGAAGGGAGGGCCCGGCGCGCGCAATCCTATCCTCGTCCGAGTTTACCCCTTGCACTTCGGAAAGCCGTCTGTAGCATCATAAGGAGGACCTCCCGGGTCAAAAAAATGGTACAGTACATAGGAGGCTGGTCTTTCTCAACGTGGTGTATAGTACGAAAAACCTTTCGATACAAGATAGGGCCATTCACATGAAAGAAGATAAAAAACCCTTTCTTCTCTTTCTCGAGGGGGAAAGAGAAAGAAGGTCTTATGGAGGGAGGGGGAGGGCTTGGGCTGGGCCTACCTATCCCGATAGGACCTCACAAAGGAACGGGGGCTGTTGAGAGGTTCCATATTGCCGAGCCGAAGGGCAGCACTTCTGTACGTGATCGTAGTATGTCATCTCGTCCTCGCTGCATTGAAAAGTACCTATGCACTATTTCCGGTTCACTGATAAGGAAGATAGAGTTGGGGTGGGGGTCTACGATGTGATACTCAAGTATGACCCGGGGAGATACATGCTAACTATGGGTAGAAAGCAGGAACCCTTATATAAAAAATTTCGGGGGGTTACAGATCAGATCTCTTATACTACCATCGATCGACAGAGCGGAACGACCAGAAAAAAAAGTTAAGTTAGAAAGCCGTATGATAGGCGGTAACTATCTTGTACGGTTCGGGGGGTAATCGGCGTACTCCGATCAGTGGGGGGGGGGGGGGAGGGGGGAATCTTTGGCTCTATCGAACATACAGGGAATTGGAGGTAGCATTCCACCGATGTTAAGTCATGGACTGGTTCCTTCAGCCCTTTTTCTATGTGTTGGTGTTCTATATGACCGACATAAGACTCGATTTGTTAGATATTACGGAGGGTTAGTGAGCACCATGCCGAATCTCTCTACCATTTCCTTCTCTTCCACTTTGGCCAATATGAGTTCACCTGGTACTAGCAGCTTTATCGGGGAATTTCCCATCTCAGTAGGAGCTTTCCAAATAAATAGCTTAGTAGCCACATTAGCAGCGCTTGGGATGATTTTAGGCGCGGCGTATTCCCTTTGGCTATATAATCGTGTGGTTTCTGGAAATTTAAAAGCCGATTTCCTCCATAAATTCTCCGATCCAAATGGCAGAGAAGTTTCCATATTTATACCTTTTCTTGTTAGAGGGGCGACCGTCCGTTGAACTACCAAAGAAAAAAGGGTAAACCAATGTGATCATGACATTGTAGGTGCTTGCGATGGGGCGGATGCGACTTCCCTCAGTTGGTTTGGGTGGTATAGCCCGTTGCAGAAGTCCCCCCTTTTTTTGATCCATTTCTGTCTTTAGTCTTTAGGGTGACTTTACTAAAAAAATAAGGCTCTCGCAGGGGCGCTCACGTTTTTTGGCTGAGCCGTATCTTGCTGGGTGGGACCGAGAGCAAGAAAGGACGGGGGGCAACCATGCATGTTCTCGACCGTGTCTCCGAGGGACAGTTGAACGAGCGACTCATGAATGCTGCCGGGTTGGACGAGCCAATAACTCGAACGCGTTCGGTCTGTTTTTTGAGCAAGATTCACAGCGTTACCTTACCTTCACCATGATACGGACTCCAAGTTCTTATGGCAGAGCGCGAGGAGATTGATCATATCAATATGATGATGGGAATGGAAACCAGAAGCACGACCGACCGGGGTCCAAGATAATCAAACCATCAGTAACAGTAGTAACGTAAGCATGAGACTTTTTGGTAGTACCGGTGAACCAGATGGCCGCGGCGATGGAATCTGGGACGGAGGACTCGTAGTATCTCTCTAGATCTGGCAAAAGCTAAAGACCCCTTAATTCGAATGGGGGCTGACCACTGAGCCCACTCTGGCCTCGCAGGGCGGGACCCTTTGGTTTCGAGCTGGAGCTGCCATAGCTTATGGCTAGAGCAATGGGAGGGGGCCCCGGCATAGAGAACAATAAGGATAACAAGCGCTCCGCCCGCTTGGCGGGCGGCAGGAGCTGCGGGCAAGTGCTTGGTAGGCCAACAGCCCAGTGAACCGGGCGGGGCACTCGACGAAAGGGGGGCACACTGAGCAAGTACGATAAATTAGCCCCGCGGAGCTTTATTAATGTCGGAAAAATATCATATAGATCATTTGCAACAATCCTTCATAAGGATGAGGAAGTATGGTCTCAAGATGAACCCTCTAAAGTGTGCATTTTGTATGCAGGCGGGAGATTTCTTAGGTTTTATGGTCCACAAGAAGGGGATCGAAATCAACCAAAACAAGACGAAAGCCATAATAGAAGCGAAAGCACTATCAAATAAGAAGGAACTACAATCGTTGCTAGGTAGAATAAACTTCTTGAGAAGATTTATATCAAACTTAAGTAGCAAAACACAGGCCTTCTCACCATTGCTTCGAGTCACTAAACAAATGTTCGAATGGGGGAAAGATCAGTAGGAGGCTTTCAACAGAATCAAAGACTATTTGACTCGTCCTCCAGTCCTTTCGCCAACTTGGAGAACGACATCATGGAAAAACAGTGGAAATTGAAAGGGTATGATCAGAAAACCCTAGTGAATCTTGCGGAGGCACTTTAGGGTTTTCTCTTCTTAATTTCAATTAATGATTCAATTAGAAATTAACTGATACAACATGTAACTCTCATGTCTTTACACTCAATAGATACATGTATAATAGATACATGCATAACAAGATTTTTACTTTCAATTTCAATAAAAATACCTAAACCCCGTATCAATCATAATAATAATGGCAACCCCCTTACCTCACTTCCTAGCAGTTGATCTCCCTTCCTTCGCATCTTCTAAGGAAATCTCCTTTGGTTCTCTGTGATTTAGCCCTTTTCCACGATTTATCTCCAATCTCACGATCGTACATAAATGAATCATCACTCTCCTATTTTTCTTGTTTAACCCTTGGACCCCTAATATGCCTTTCCAAACTTTCCCCCACTAATCCTCATGAATATTACCCATTTGCCCTTATTCTCCTTTTCACCTTAATATCTAATTGATTATTATTATAATTCCAAATAATATAAACTAAATTATTTAAATTTAAATAATTTTACTCATCCTTCCATATTCCTCTTATTTCCCCACAACACATCGGCACACATCATACAAATAAATCCAAATTCACAATTAATTACAAATAATCACGTAAATAAATAATTATAAATTTTTGGGGTGTTACAACTCTCTAATACTAAAAGAATATTCGCCCTAAAAAATACTCGAGAAAAACAGAGTCGGATACGACTCTCTCATCTAATCTTCATGTTCCCAACTAGAACTTTCACTAGCTGGTCCATCCCATAATACCTTCACTAAGGCAATCTCTTTACCCCATAGCTATTTCATTTCTCGACCATCTATCTGCACGGGTGATGCTTCAATCGCCAGGTTATCTCTCACTTGTACATCATCCATTTGTATTACATGAGACGGATCTGGACTGTATTTTCTCAACTGAGATACATGAAACACATCATGAAGGTTCGCAAGCGACAGCGATAAAGCAACTCGATAGGATATCTCTTCTATCCTCTGTATAATCTGATACGGACCAATAAAACACTGAGTGAGCTTTCTAGACTTCAAAGCTCGAACCACACCAGTTATAAGCGTAACTCTCAAAAACATGTGATCTCCCTCTTGGATTTTGAGTACCTTCTTCCTCCTATCATGATAACTCTTCTAGCGAATTTGTGAAGTTCTCATCCTCTATTGGATCATCTTAATCTTTTTGGTCATCTCTTGCACAATCTAAGGTCCGAGTACAACACTCTCTCGGCTGACTCATACCAACACAATGGAGTCCTATAAAAGAGAGCATAATACAAATGGAAAAACAAGCTAACACAAAGGGAGTTGATTTTGCCTTCAAACCAGGCGATCTTGTTCTCCTAAAGTTACAGTCTTACAGACAACAAATGATTAGCAACTTAAGAAATGAGCCAATTTAGTTAATTTATCCACAACCACCCAAATTGAATCATTCCCCTTTGCAGTCTCCAAAAATCCCGACACAAAATCCATGGAGATACTATCCCATTTCCATTTCGGAATATTCAATGATTGCATCATACCCAAGGCTTTTAATGTTCAATCTCTGACTTCTAACAATTCAAACAGGCATAAACAATTCAACAATATCCCTCTTCATAGTTGGACATCAAATAAACTTCAGCAAATCCTTATACATCTTTGTGGCACCGGGATGAATACCCATCCTACTTCGATGCCCCTCTTCAAGAATACTCTTCTTAATTTATAGAACATCCGTAACACGCACTCTATCTATGAACCTCATCATGCCATCCTCATCAATCTGGAATTCACCTCTGTTACCTTGGTTAATCAAGGTCAATTGATAAAATAATCTCAAATCAAATTTCTGACATTCCTTGATTTCTTTGAGAATGTCACTCATCAAGTTCAACATTCCCAACTTCACACTGACAGGAGTCTTCTCGCATACTAAACTCATGTCTCTGGAATGTTCGATTAATTATAATTCTCTCACCATAAGCATCGACATATGCAATGACTTTTTGCTCAACGCATCAGCCACCGCATTTGCTTTACCAGGGTGGTAACTCAAATCGAAGTCATAGTCCTTCAACAATTCCAGCCACCTTCTCTGCCTCATATTCAACTCTTTCAGATCGAATAAGTACTTTAAACTCTTATGATCACTGAACACCTTGAATTTATAGCCAAAAAGGTAATGTCTCAAAATTTTTAACATGAATACTACAGTTGCCAATTCTAAATCATGTGTAGGATAATTCCCTTCATGAACCCTCAATTTCCTAGAAGCATAGGCAACAACCTGACCATTCTACATCAACACTCCACCAAGACCCATCTTTGACGCGTCACAATGCACCATAAAATATTCACTCGGATTAGGAAAGATCAATACCGGAGCGGTCGTTAACTTCTTCTTCAATTCCACAAAGATCTCTTCACATGCAACATCCCACACATAAACTTGACCCTTCAGAGTCAACTGAGTCAAAGGTAATACTAACTTAGAAAAATCATCGATAAACTTGCGATAATAACTTGTCAACCTAAGAAAAATTCGTATTTTTGTAGCAGACTTCGGAGTCTCCCACTATAACACAACATTAATCTTAGAAGGATGGACAACAGTTCTACCACTTGATATCACATGGCCAAGGAAACTCACTTCCTTTAATCAGAACTCACATTTTGATTGTTTTGCATATAATTTCTTCTCTCTCAACACTTGCAACACCGTACACAAATGTCCATCATGCTCTTCTTTAGATTTTAAGTATATCAGAATATCATCAATGAAAACCACAACAAACTTATCCAAATACTAATGAAAAATCATATTCATATACTCCATGAACACACCTGGTGCATTGGATACACCAAATGGCATCACAGTGTATTCATAGTGATCGTACCTCATCCTAAAATCTGTCTTCAGAATATCATTTGGCTTAACACGAATCTAATGATAACCATACCTCATATTAATCTTACTAAACACACATGTGTCCACTAGTTGATTCATCAAATAATCGATACTTAGAAGTGGATACTTATTCTTGATAGTCACTTTATTCAACTGCCGGTAATCAAAACACAATCTCATACTACTGTCTTTCTTCTTAACTAACAACACAGGAGCACCCCATAGAGAAACATTTGGTCGAATAAAATTCTTCTCAAGCAATTCTTCCAATTGTTTATTCAATTCACTTAACTCAGAAACTGACATCCGGCAAGGAGCCATTGACATCGGACTCGTTCTTGGTATCAATTCTACCGCAATCTCGGCTTCACGCTCTAGAGGCAAATCACTGACGTCGTTTGGGAATACGTCTGGGAATTCACAGACAACAGGTAATTCAACACTTGTAATTTCACGTACAACTTATAATGATGCAAACATTACAATTATTAAGGCCCCGTCTTCTAGAAGATCATCCACTTGCTTAGCAGACAAAAATATCAGTTCTCCATTATCACCAAACTCAAGAAATCTCATAGTCTTATTGTTACAGTTGATATGAACATAGTTGAACTCCAACGAATTCATTTCAAGGATAACATCAATTTGGTGCAAGGATAAACACACCAAATCCATCACGAAAATCTTCCCAAAAATAGTTAAGGGACAACCCAAGCATACAAAGGTCAT